TCAGTGGTGTCCACCTGCTGTCTGCAGTCAGAGGATTGGGGTGTCCTAAGCTCTCTCCAGCTCTGAAATCTTTAACTGTCTGCTGAGTGCATTTGTCTGGAACCTTGCCTCCCCTGTCCCTGTGGTTCTGCATGTTGCTGGGTGTTTCTCAGGGACACCTGACTTTCCTGAGGGTCCCCAGCCCTGGGTGGGAGAAGAGGGTGTGTGACATCTGACACCTGGGAGTTGGTCGGTCTCCATTGTCTGAGGAGGGTGTATTTCCCGGGTTAGCTGGGCATGGGTTCAGTTTCAGTTGCATCCTTCCTTCCGGTTTGGGATGGGTTCTGAAATTTGTGTTGCAAGTGATGAAAAAGGAGTCGGTGGCTTTTCATCTCAGTGGGGTTAGCTTTGTCATGGACCCCTGAGCTGAGAGATGGCATTATTAGAAGTCCAGTGCCTCAACCCATGCAGCCTTATTGAGGACTTACTTGTATCATTGTGTATTGCTTGAAAGTGAGCAATCTGTACGGTAACTTTTAGGATGATTAGTGTAGGTGTGGGGCAACTCTGTGTGGGTGGGTTTAACAGCTGCCCCTGTGTGCCTCATTTCCTGGGTATCACTGAGGAATGGCTCTTTGATTTTCAACTTTAAAGCCTTATCTTGCCACAGTCAGCCTTTTATACAGAGCAGAGTGCTGGAAACGGGCTGCAATGACAATGTTCCTAATGGGATGGGTTTTATTTCAAATGACTGGACTGTGACAACTTTTAGGTGCCTTCATGTGACTCTTCTCACAATAGCCAATTTTCCTCTCGTTTAATAGAAAATTAGTAGCCAAAGCCTGCTTGACGTCTCTGCCCCCATGGTGGCCTGGGCGGACCCTGGCTTATCTCCCAGGGTGACTGTCAGACAGGCTGGCCACAGCCCAAGGAAGTGGAGGCAAAGGGGGTGCCCCAGTCCAACCTGGAGGGTCCATGTGGTTTTTGTATTCAGGGCAGAGTTGTTTTGCTGTTGGCTTTTGGCAGGAGCCAGGCAGAGCAGCTGTCTGTGGGCTCCCCTGTTGGCCGGGAATGTTGACCAGGATGTGGAAGGAATCAGGCAGGAGGCCCGGGCGGGATGGTCATTGTGGTGTCTCTGCACCTAAGTGATTTGATTTCACAGACATCAATGCTCAGGATTGATCAATCTCAAGATCAATGCTTGGGAAGGGTAGAGCTTGCGACTCATCACAGATATGACTCTGAATCTGTGGGGACTTTCCCTGGGCTGACTCATAAAATGAATGGGCACCTGAGCCATTCTGTCTGATGCTGAAAACCAGGAGTGCTCGGGCGGCCCTTGCAGCCATAAAGTCTGCCTTTCCCCAGGGGAGTGACCGCTGATGGTGTGTTTTCTATTTGAACCAACTCTAAAGGGGCCCACCCAAGTTTCAGAAAGAAACTCAGGTTCTTGACATATGCAGGGGGAACCCTTTCACTTCTAAAATCTGTTTAAAAATTTACTGTTAGTGAAAATATCCTCTTGTGCATTTGCAGTGACACCTCCATCCTCACCGCAGTGCCCTGTGAGTGCAGGCCTGTGCCCGGGACCTGGCTGGACCCTGGGGTTTTCCTGAGCCACTGGCCCTGAGCTGCTTGTGCTGTCAACAGGGCAGCCCTCTGGGTCTGGATAAGAGGTTCTGTGTGCTCCTTACAGTTCAGAGCAGCTGTGGGCTGTCTTCCCTGACTCCTGCCTTGTCCTCCAGTAGTAAGTCACGCCCCTGTCACTCCCTGATGGAACCACTCCACTGAGGTTGATTTTACACTGAGGCTTCTCTTTGGGATACCCCAAGCTCGTGGTTACCCAATGGAGGTAAAATTCTGGGAGAATCGGCTGGTGAGATGCCTGACACCACTCTCCTGGCATCTGACATCAAGGATACCTTAATTTTCTTAGTGTCTAAAAATTGTGGTAAATACACATAACAGGAAATTTACCATCTCAAATACTTCTAGGTGTATGATTCTGTGGCATTAAATATACTCACAGTGTTGTGCAACCATCACCACCATCCATCTCCGGAACTTTCTTCATCTTGCAATCTGAAACTCTGTGTCCACTAACTCCCCCTTGCACCTCCCCTAGCCCCCGGCAGCCACCATTCTACTTTCCATCTCTGAATTTGATGACTCCAGGTGACACATCTGAGTGGAATCATACAATCATTTGTCTTTTTCCAACTGGCTTCTTTCACTTTGCGTGACATCCTCAAGGCCCACCTGTGTTGTTGCGTGCGTCAGAACTTCCTTCCTTCTTAGGGCTGACTACTGTCCCCACTGTATGGGTAGACTACGTTTTGTTTACCATTCATCCCTCGGACATGGAGAACATCTCATAGTAGAAAGAGTCAAAGAAGCCAGCGAGGGCTTCATCTTGGCCACTCATGCTCTCTGTCGCTCCACCCTCTGCGAGGGTTGGGTGGACAGGCCGAAGCTACCTCCTCATCCTGCATTGAGCAGACGGGCCTGGTGCTGGGCACAGAGGATGCGAACTGGAGCAGGAACCAGTTCCTACCCTCAAAGTGCGGCAGCAACATGTCACATTAGTGCCAGTCTGTCCGGGGCTTTATAAAGTTAAGAAAGAGCCTGTGTCCATCCTGAAGGCTGTGTGACCACAGGGCTTCTAAAGGATGCTTCTGTATTCCCAGAGTTAGGTGGCAGCTCCTGGAAGGCTCTCTTTTATCCCAGTGCTCTTGCTAAGAATGGAAAGCCCCTCTGCGTGACTGCAGTAGCTGGTGCGATCCTCTGGTCACTTGCACCAGAGCCTGGGAGGTCGTGGCTTGAAAAGCTCACCCCTCATAATGGGATGCCAGTAAATATTATCCGAAGTTGATATACCCAGAAAGAGAGTTTAAAAATTATTTAGAGAGGTGGAAAATAACCACCAGTAGAATTAAAATCAGAACTGACAAGGATGGCCAGCGGAGTGGGGAAGTCCAGACTGGGGAATGTGATGTTTCATTATAAGGTCTTTCAGCATTTGCTTACTTTGGTCTGAGTGAAAGAATTTTCTCATTTTTTTGAGGGCCATGTACAGCCAAAGACTCACCATCTGTCAGACACACTGGTCAGTTCTCCTGGCAAGGCAGAGTTGGAGGTTTTTGTCCTCAGGTGTGTGGGCAGGGACGGCAGCTTGCTGTAAGGTATCCAACAGCACCAGGGGCAGGAATTGAAAAGTGCTTGGTGATTGGTGGGATAATGGTATCTAGCACAATTATTCCTGCCAAAATCTTAATGGTGGCTGGGCATGGTGGCTCGTGCATGTCATCCCAGCACTTTGGGAGGCCAAAGTGGGTGGATCACTTGAGGTCAGGAGTTCAAGACTAGCCTGGCCAACATGGTGAAACTCTGTCTTTACTAAAAAAAATACAAAAATTAACCAGGCGTGGTGGCACACACCTGTAAACCCAGCTACTCGGGAGGCTGAGGCAGGAGAATTGCTTGAACCTGGGAGGCAGAGGTTGCAGTGAGCCAAGATTGCGCCACTGCACTCCAGGCTGGGTGACAGAGTGAGACTCCATCTCAAAAAAAACAAAAAACAAAAAAACAGACACACAGAAAAACAAAAACAAAAAAACCTTAATGGTGTGCAATAAATGAAAATGCTGCCTCAGTCAGATGGGACGAGCATTTTTCAGCAACCTGCAAGGTCTTGTGTCACAGGAATGAAGATCTGAGTATTTCCCACCCATGGAGGGGTTGGTGAAGGAGTTTTCAATCCCTGGCACCCTGGGCGGTACTGAAAGCCTCTGCGTCACACCGCCTGGGTTAGTTGGCAAAGAGAGCTCCCACCGTTCCCTTTTAACCCTTGTCCTTTTGTACCACAGCAATTGCTTTCCTGGAGATCAGAACCATGACTGGGTTTAACATCATCTTTGGAAATCCTAAAAGGCAATGAAGCGATTTCTCTCTCTCTCTTTTTTTTTTTTTTTTTTTGATACAGCTGTGTCAGTTTGAAATTTTATTTTCATATCAGTTCTAATAGTGTATCTGCTTGACATAGTTTCTATTAAATGGGCTTGATAAGAAGCTATTTTAAAAATTCAGATAGTTAGAGTTTCAGGGCCTGTCGTCTTGATTTTTGGGGCAATACCTCAATTTCATACGGGGTTGTTCTTTTCCAGAAAGATGGGTCACTGAATAATTTACATTTTGTGGTTATTTTCTGAGGAACTATTTCTGGTTATAAATGGTAAACATCTTCTAGGTTTTGCAGTAAGAAATAATTGATTATGTTAGAAAAAAAGAACCATAAGAAGATGTGATTTGAATTTTGACTTCCTGTAAGTACCTTCTGGAGCAGAAGGTTTTGTCTTCATGGATTCTGTGTCTTGGATTTGGGGACTGTGTTGCACTGAGCTGTACTCTGTAGGGAGGAGCCTGTGGGCAGAACAGTTTGGGTTCTGCTGGCCGCCTCTCACTCTATTCAGGGAGGCTGGGTCCCAGAGAAAGATGACAGCAGTTAGGTCTTGTTGGGAAGAAAACTCGGCTACCAACCCTGGACCGTTTTGCTTCCCCTGAACAAATAAGATAGTCATTTGCCTGCTTTGGGGGATGGTGCCTGTGGTTCACACAGGAGGAGGTGGCAGCTGGCTTGCCTGCTGGCCTGCTTGGTGGAGATAAGATGCTCAGAGCCACCGCTGCTCTTCAGGGGTGGTGGAGGGAATTAATGCACTTCCTTCTGTCCCCCAATCACATTTACATGTCTCTGGAGCTGAACATGTATTATTTTGCTTTCTTCATCTCAATAGAGCTTTTAAATTAGATAGGTGTTGCTTAAACCATTCAGAAATGTTTCACATTTAAAAAGACAAAAGGTAGTTGCTGCCATGATTCCTTCACCCACCCCTACACCGTGGCCTTGTAGGACAGTCCTCCCTTGGCTGTGCTGAGCCCATCTGGAAGTGTTTCTGATTCTAATCGGAAGTGGAACAGTTTCAGTGCTGATTATATGTTCATGTTAGTGATGAACTTGGGTGGAGATGGGGACACAGCTTGTTCTCTCCTCCTGGACTCTCATCCAGGGCCCTGAGCTGCCAGGGGCCTGGCCACTCCCGCCCCGAGCCCTGCCTTGGCTGAGCTGGTCACCGCTGCTGTGTGTCCCAGGCTGCCGGCCTGCCTGTCACCTGCAGTGCACAGGTGTGCATGTATGTGCATACATACATGCACCACACACACACCATGCCCACCTCACACACCCCATACACACCACACACCAACCACACACATTATGCACACCCCATACATATCACACACCACAAACACTACACCATGCACACAAAACATACATAGACACTCAACCCTTCCATACTACATTACACTCCACACCCACCACACATCACACTCTACACACACACATCACATTCACGTCACACCACACCACATACCACACACCATGCACAGTACACTCCACACACTCACCACACCCTACAGGATGCCCCGCAACCATACATACACACACACCACATACCCACACCATACTACACATTTACCACATACACACCACACACAGTGTATCTCACGCACACACTACATACTCTGCCACACACATTTGCATGCAAACTACTCATTGAATGAAACTGAATGATTGTTTTCCCACATTAATACTGCCCGCCTGCGCACCCCCGGCTGTCCTGGCCAGCACATCCCCTGGTCCTGCCCTCCCTTGGGTCAGCACTGCCTCCTGTGTTTTGGGTGTCTCTGGCTGTGCCCTGTGGTGTGCTTAGGTCCTGATTGCGTGGGAGGCTGGCTCCTCTGCTCCAGTGGCTGCCTTCCTGGAGGAGACCAGCCTGTTTGCCACCTCTCCTGATGCCCAGAGCAGCAGCCCGTGTAGGAATTCCTGCTTCCTCCCCTCGCTGTCTGCCCCTCCTCACATGTCATTTTGTCTCAGTGCTGACATCTCCCCAGCTAGAAAAGGAGACCCTCAAAGGCGCACAGCTGGGTTTGATTATAATGCCGGTGAATATTAAATGTATTTTGGTAAAACACTCAACCAGTACATACATCTTTAATAAAGTAAAATATCCAGGCCTCCTCTGCTCCCACCTCTCTCCCCACTCCCCTCCAGAGAGGACATGGCTGACAAGCCTTTGGGGGTTTCCCCTTTCTGTGTGCCTTTGCGAGGTGTATGGGCTGGGCAGTGTGTGTATTCTCTAGCCATCTTGAGGGACCTGTAACTGGGATCTACACACGTGTTCGCTGTAGCTCGCTTGCTGTTTTCCCTCAAAAATAGGCCTGTAAGATCCCTCACTGTAGTGTGCATTGCCCTGCCTCTTTAAAAACACTGTCGACTCTTCCAGTGCGTGAACTCTGCCATCATTTATTTAACATTCTCTTATTTATGGGTACCGAGGTTGTTTCCAGTTTTTTTAAAAGATTGCTGCAATGAAAATCTTCAGCTGTCATTTTTCACATTGCTGTGGGAGAACGTGGTGGCAGGTGCTGTGGTGGTGGAGTGGCCCCACGCACAGCCAGGCTTTGTGGGGTTCTGACTCTGTCCTTGCCAATGTTCCTCCCCACAGTGGCTGGGGAATGATGGCTGGGGGAGCGCCCGCCATGCCCCACCGGAAGCGTCTACCGTGGCCCACCGGAAGCGTGATCGTTTGGGGAGCGGCGTGTTGGACCACAGGGCTAGGCCGGGTCCTGTCTGCCACAACCAGGAGCCTGAGAGCGAGGACGTGGAGCTGCCCTTGGAGGGCTACGTGCCCGCGGGCCTGGAGCTGGCCGCCCTGTGGCCAGGGAGCCCCCCGCCCAAGGAGCTGGAGTGCTACAACCACAGCCCCGATGGGGACTCCAGTTCCGACTACGTGAACAACATCTCCGCGGAGGAGGACTATGACGAGGGCCTCCCTGAAGAGGAGGAGGGTATCACCTACTACATCTACTGCCCTGAGGACGACAGCTACCTGGAGGGCATGGACTGCAATGGGGAGGAGTACCTGGCCCACGGCGCGCACCCCATGGACACTGACGAGTGCCAGGATGCGGTGGAGTGGATGGACTGGGCGGGCCCACACCCCCATGGTCACGGGGCTAAAGCAGCCAGGACTACCCGGATGGCCAACTGCCCATCCTGGAGGATGAGCCCTCCGTCCTGGAGTCCCACGACCAGGAAAAAGATGGTCACTACTGTCCCAGCAAAGAGGGCTGCCAGGACTACCACCCTGCGGAGGCTAACGGGAACACGAGTGCTTCTGCTTACCCCCTGAGCTGCGGGGACGGGGACCTGGAGGACCAGGAGGAGGACATCGACCAGCTCGTGTCTGAGATCAAGATGAGCCTGAGCATGACCAGCATCACCAGCGCCAGTGAGGCCAGCCCCGAGCATGGACCTGAGCTGGGGCCTGGGGACTCTGCAGAGGCCTTCCCGCACAGCAAGGCCACCTGCAGCCCCAGCAGGTACAAGGCGAGGCCCAAGTCGCTGAACCTCCTTCCCGAGGCCAAGCACCCTGGAGACCCCCAGAGAGGCTTCAAGCCCAAGACCAGGACCCCAGAAGAGAGGCCAAAGTGGCTCCCAGAGCAGGTAGGACTCTGGCTGTCCCAGGGAAGGGAGCAGAGGGGCCCGAGAGCAGGGGACCTCAGGGTACAGGCCTCACAGATGCTGAAGTGAGGGAGTTGGGGGTGCTGGGTGCCTTACAGCTCTGATGGTGGCTGGGCTTGTCATTGGTCTAGTTGGGAGACGTGTTGTGTGGATGTTCCGGCCACTCTTAAGCTCACCCCTGAGACTCAGGAGTGAAGCCGGTTGAGGGCTGAGTGGCGACTCGTGTCTCGCAGAAGACACCCCTCCTCCCACCCTAGAAGAGAGGTTTGATTTCGTGCCTGCTGCCCTGGGTCTGCTCATGGTGGGACAGTGTCTGGGAGAGCCCCTCCATCCTCAGGGGTGTACTCAGACCAGCAGGGCAGTGGCAGAGACGTGGGGGTGCTGGTGCTCACACACTGCTGTGGCCAGTGTTGGGTGGCCTGGTGGCTGGGGTGGGGTCCAGAGTGCATTTCACAGTGGACGCCTCTCTGAAAGCCCGGGGGCCTTGGCCTGATGGGCAATTAGCTGTGAATAACTATTTGGAAAATGATTTTTTGAAGGTTTGACAAAAACCTCAGGGAAGAAACGCATGCTAATGAGGGCAGTGAATGTCAGCATAACTGTATTTTAATTATGGCAAAGTCCGCATGCATTCTGATAAACACATTTGAAAAGCTGCCTTCCAAAAAAAAAAAAAAAAAAGCTTCACTGTAAGTATATAAAGAAGATGTGATTATTGGACTTGTGTGAAGGAACTTGTATTTGGCCAATTATGTGGACTGCTTTCATATTTTTTAAAGCCTTAACTATTAAACATTTTTTTCCGAGAAGAATTCATGAATTTGAGTGTGTGTGTGTGTGTGTGTGTGTGTGTGTGTGTGTGCTGAGAGCTTGGGTTTGGAATGGAAATCATATTGACTCTTGGATTTTCAGCACTTGTATTTTAATGTCTTGTGTTCTCTCTAAAGAATGTTAAGTGTCAGTTGACTTCACTTTGGGGGTGTTCCTGTCATTCACAGCAATTCTGTGTTTACAGGGAGCTGTGGGATGCATAGGAAGTCCCATGGTGGTGGGATGGCAGTCACGGGAATTTTACAAACCCAAAGCATTTAGATTGTAACCATTGCTAGTCAGTTACTATGAAAAGACATGGGACTATGGTAATAGGGGGCTGACTAAGAATAACTCCTAATCCTATGTCAGATAATACCACGGGCAGCTCAGGAAAACTACGCACAACTCAGACGTGTGCAGAAAGGAGATGTGTAACAGAATGGAGCCCCTGGGCTGATAGAGGCCTCCAGGACCTGCCACACCCATGTCTGTCCCTAATTCCCCAGTCAGCCTTCACAGAAGAGAAGCTGATCTCCCTCCAGCTGAGACCAAGCCAAGGCCCAAACTGTTGGAGCTGAAGGATGTTTGGGCTAGGCTCACAGAAGCTGTTCCGCTCCTCCAGTGTCAACAGCTACCCGTGGTCCAGGCCTCTGTCTGGTCCTGGTCCTTTTTTTTTTTTCCCCAAGATGGAGTCTTGCTCTGTTGCCCAGGCTGGAGTGCAATGGCATGATCTCAGCTCACTGCAATCTCTGCCTCCTGTGCTCAAGCAGTTCTCCTGTCTCAACCTCCCGAGTAGCTGGGATTACAGGCACCCGCAATCATGCCTGGCTAATTTTTGTATTTTTGTAGAGACAGGGTTTCACCATGTTGGCCAGGCTGGTCTTGAACTCCTGACCTCAGGTGATCCGCCCACCTCAGCCTCCCAAAGTGCTGGGGTTGCAGGTGTTAGCCACTGCACCCAGCCTTGTCCTGGGCCTCTTAAGAGACACTGGGTGCTGACTCACTTCTGGGTCTGCCCCATGAGTGGCCCGCCAGGTCTGCTCTGGGTGCAGCCAGGCTGTGCAGGGCCGGGAGCCTGAGCTGGACTTAAGGTGGGGAGACGCTGCTGCCCAAGAGCTACTCGGGTGCGATGTCAGGGTGCAGGCTGTTGCCATGTGTGGCAGCATCACTCATTTACCCTCTTGTTTCATCAGCCTCTGTCCTTCGGCTCATGTCCTTGCAGGTGGCCTCTGATTCTGCCTCTGGAGCCTGTCTGCCCCCTCTTGATTCATTCATTGGGCCCCAAGTATGTGAACGATATAGCATACTAGCCACTTTTAGAAATATCTGTGTTCATCTTCAAGAGAGGGAGGTCATCTAGCCATTCCCCAGCCTTCAAAACCCACTCCACAGACAAAGTAATGGCAGGTCAAGGCTCCTCTTGCTCTTCTGAACCGCAGGCGTAGCGAACACAGTACAAAAGAAAAGGATTTCACATGCAATAGAATTTCGTTCACCCTGAAAAAGGAAGGAAATTCTGACACAGGCTACATTGTGGATGAACCTTGAGGACATCCTGCTAGAGCCAGTCACAAAAGGACAAGTTCTGTGTGATTCCACTTCTCTGAGGCACGCACAGTAGAATCACAGAAACAGGAAGTAGAATGGGGGTGGCCAGAGGCTGGAGAGAGCAGGGAGTGGGGAGCTGTTGTCTAATGGGTGCAGAGGTTCAGTTGTGAAGATGGAAAAGTTCTGGAGACGCATGATGGTGAAGATCGCACAACAGTGTGAATGTGTTTAGTGCCACTGAACTCTACACCTAAAAATGGTTAAGATGGTAAATTTTATGTTATGTATACTTACCACAATAAAAGAAATAAGAAATAAAAGGTTTTTGGACGATGACTGGCTCAAGCCAGTTTGGATCCTCTAAAACTAAGTTGAGCCAGTCTGCACCCATGTAGCCAGAATCACACTGTATTAGGCTGTTTTAGCACTTCACATGGTGAGAATGGGGGAGAGAGAGAGAGAGAGTGATTGATTGATCGGGGGGTTGTTTAAAAGTTACACACTTTTAAACAACCAGATCTCTTGTGAACTCAGAGCAGGAGTTCACCTATCACCAAGAGGATGGCTCAAGTTATCCGTGAGGGATTCTCCCCATGATCCAGACACCTACCTCCCACCAGGCCCCACCACCAGCATTGGGGATTGCATTTCAATATGAGACGGAGGTGGGGACAAATATCCAAACCATATCACCCACAAGAAGCAAAAACATTTTGGGCCAATCAAAACTGTTTGGATATAGCCACAGTAGGGATGAGCTATGATTACACCCATACCTGTGGACCTGTGGACCTGTGGACCTGTGGGCCTGTGGACTTGGCGTGTGTGGTCCTGGGGCGGTGGGTCGGCACATCCCTGGGAGGTTTTAGGAGGACATTCAAGGCCAAAATGAGCCCTGAGTAAATAATACAACCACGTCCTAAGCGGGAGGTGGGGAGCCTCCCCTTCTCTCCTAGGTCTTGTGTGGGTCATGGTCCTACCTTGGCAGGAGTGGAAGGAACATGGATCCTACAGGCTATGGCTTACAGTAAAGTGGTTGTGGTCATGCCTTGTGAGTGTCATTAAAATAAACATATATTGTTAAATCCATCATTAAATAACAGCTATTTCTGCTATCCTCTCGCCTTTTCCACAAATTTAAATATCCCAGGTATTCTTTGTATATTCATAAAAGTAGACAGGTAGATTTAGTGAAGTTAACTGGATCATTGGTATCTTCTTTATATGTCATCTGGTGAGACTTGTTCTTCAAATTATGAGTTGTAGGAGTTTGTTTTAATGTCTATAGCCTTAGGCAGTTCCATCGAGACTAAACTCAGTTGCTTTTTTTTTTCTTATTGGGACTAATCTTATTGACCAGAACTGTGGACTCCTCATATTAGGAGAACAGAGATCTGGCCTGTGTAAATGAGTGGAAGGTAAATACTATAGAAAATGTCCTCTGGAAATTGAAGTCTAATACTGACTTACTAATGATCGTTTAATTTCCTTTTGGCTTGGGCACCATCGTTGCATTCATTTTTCAGATGTCAAGCAAGTTTTCTCAGAATGTGTGCAGGGCTCAGGGCCAAGTATGGAGGCCACTGGGTGAATACAGGAGAGGTCACAGGTCAAGCCTCCTAGGAGAACTATAGGCTTGAGCCTCCTAGAGCCATGTGATTGATTTTTAGCCCCAGTAGGTTGCTGTCATTAAACTATGCACACAGGGCTTCTTGCTTTTAAGTTAGCAGGATGGAAAAATTGCAGGTGTTTGCAGCAGACATGTAGAAGCAGCCATGCTGGCCCCTAAGCAATGGTATTAGAAAGGGTTGGTGATGATTTTCTCATTTGAGAATTGAACAAAACCAAATGGAATTCTCTCTAGTTCTGCAGCACTGGGGGCTGTAAGTGGCAGAGCTTCCACTTTCCCCACAGATGGACCCAGAGTGGCACCTGGTATGTGAGGCAGGTGACCAGGAGAAGAGGCAGATAACCCACCCTTCCTGGGTCATCTCCCACTTTGCCTGGGTGTCAGTCACTGGAGGGTTAGCTCAGTACAAGCTGACGGGTGACCAACGTAGAGCTTGGGTGAAGGTGCTCTCATAGGGCATGTGTTTGAGACCCTTAGAGGGCTCTCCTTGCTCTTGCTTCTCCCATTATTTTTAAACTGTAGTAATACACATGGAACACAGAGTTTACCATTTTAAAGTGTACAGTTCAGTGGCATTTAGTACAATGTTGTGCAACCACCTCTGATATTTAGCTCCAGAACATTTTCACTGCCCCCAGAGGAGACCCTGTACTTATTAAACAGTCACTCCCCATTCTTCCCTCTCCCCTCAGTCCCCTCAATGAAAAATCTGTTTTCTCTCACTTTGGATTTGCCTATTCCGGATAATCCATAAAGATGGGATCAGACAACATGTGCCCTTTAGTGTCCGGCTTATTTCTCCAGCATAATGTTTTCAGGGTTCATCCCTGTTGTAGCGCATGTCAGTACTTCATTCATTTTTGTGGCTGAATGATATTCCACTGAATGGCTATATTTTTTTATTTTTATTTTTATCTTTTGAGACAGAGTTTCACTCTTGTTGCCCAGGCTGGAGTGCAATGGCGCGATCTTGGCTCACTGCAGCCAAATG